GTTTAAAAGATTTTGATTGTGTTTAATGATAAGTTTAAAAGATTCTAACCGTTTTCTAGATAATATATCATTTCCATTATTACCTTTTTAATTTTAAATTTTTTTGAATCTTTTTAAATTTTAATTTTAATTTTAAAAATCTTTTAATTTTATTTTTTATCACAATATGTGGTTATTGAGTTGTTCTCGCGTTTTCATAAATCACAGGGGTTCTCGTTTGAACCCTTCCCTATATATATATATACATATATATATAGGAGTAATCAAATGCAAACCATCCAATTTGTACAAACAGTGCAAACCACCCTCATCCGTCGATTTCATTGTTTAATCTTATGAAAAAAAAATCATAAAATGGTTTAATCTTGTGAAATTGTTTCATATAATATGTTTTTTGATGAAGTTGTTTCATATAATACTTAATGAAATTTTAATGAAACTGTTTCATGTATTTCTCTAAAATTAAAATAATGAAGATGATAATATTCATGATTAACACCCTCCACAATAAAAATGATTAATCAACCTCTCATAATTACAAAAAAAATGAACAAAATGAAAAATTATAATTGGTAGGTTTGTACGGTTTTTACAAATAACATGGTTTGCGAAGTAAACTTCCTCTCTCTCTCTCTCTCTCTATATATATATATATATATATATATATATATATATATATTAGATGTGGATAAGATATTGTTTGATTTTTGTAACGGGTATAAGAAAGTGAAGGATGTTTCACCAGAATGCTAGTATAAATCAAATGGCAATGAAATATGTAATTGAGGTTGCTTTTTTCATCATGATCAAGTCATGTGTAAGATATACATAAAACATCATAGATTGGTAGATGAGCATTGAATAATAGGCAATAATAGAGAGAGAAGAGGAGGAGATATGTGTTTAAGCACAGAAATCGATAAAGAGTGATCGAAGGTCTAGACATATTAATGAGACAGTACGAATATTAAGTTGCTTTAAATGTTATAAAAAGAGGCAGTCATGACAAAACAATTACAAAAAGGATCGGTGAAGGAGATCAAAGTTATGAGATCTCAATGTACACAAACTAAGTCGTTAGCAATATGCACAAGTAACCATATTTGCTCAACATCTTTGTCCGTTTATGAGATAACGATTTTTACATAAAAATAAGGGAATTTTAATACATACCAAAGATAGCAAAGATGAAGAGAAGGGACTGATCTTATAAAAGACAAGATTTCGCTACATTCGTTATTATAAAGCTTGCTTTTCTGCATTTCCCTACTTCTAATCATTACGTTGTTTTTGATAGCTCCTTTACACCTTTCTCTTCTTGGTAATTACACATGCATCCCACAAATTAAAATATTGAATTCGCCAATCTAAATATCCTAAGGATTTTGAGCCCTAGAAAAGTGATAGATCCCCCTTATAATTCATGTTCGTCAACCAACATCATTTTTCTTTAAATCCACTTTTTTCTAGATTGTCGTAACTTATATAGTCAATCATAACTAAGAATTAATATAATTACTTTTAATTGTGCCATTTGAAAGTTCAAGTAACCAGAAAAAGAAATTTCTTTAAGTGCATAATTACATAAATACACGTTAATTTTAGAAGGTTGATGATAAAATTGTGGTTCATCTATTTAAGCATAAGGACCAATTCTCTAACCATGTCAAAGTTGAGGGACTAGTAAAATAATTTGTTTCATTATAGGGACCAATACAAACCAAAATGAATATTAAGGGACTAATATTGCCAAATGTTCAAACTTCATCAACAGCTTTGAGAAAGATATCTCTCTAACACGACACCGTTTCATCAAGCGTTGCCGCTTTACATCACACAGCTTTGCTGTATATATCTTTCATCTTTGCCCTTCGATTCCTTCACCGACCAAGCAAAAATGGCCATGGAGTATTGTCAAAGATTCGTTATTCTCACGCTTCTCCTCCATTCAATCTTCTGCATCAACCATCTAGTCAAGTGCGATGGTATGTTCAATTTCTTGCTTTTGATTGATTTCACTTGAATCTAAAAGAACCATCATTGCTAGAGCAAATCTGCTTAATGGGTTTGTTTTGTACATCATGATCCAAGAGTTTCTTATTTTTCCGATTAACTATCTGTACATCTAAGGTAACTAGCTTCTTCTAGCTTGTTAGTGCGACTGATATTTGAAGTGGAATTTCTAGTGCAATGTTGGATTAATGGGTTATACAAATGCTTGAAATTAAGCTTAAGGACCATTGGATCCGAGGATATGATGTGTGGGATTTGGATCTGATTGATTCCTTTTTGATTTGTATCGGTGAGATTGTTAGATTTCTAGTGATCTAAACTAATCAACATAGCTTTAAATTTAAGGTACAAAATCTGAGACCCCTTTCCTTCTTAGTGTTTGTTATCGAATATCTTAGTAATTTGATTGTTCCAATAATTGGAACCCAGGAATGTGTGTTAAGTATGTTATCACTTATCAAAACTGATATGCTCATGGGATTTGTTGTTTATTATATTATGGGAACATTATATTTTTGGTGGATGATTTGGTAGGAGGATATCATTCCTCAAGTTGATTCTTGAAGGCAGTATAATTACATCACTTCTTCAAAACATTCCCCATTGCAATTGAATTATGCATTTCAAGAAGTCAATTGTGGTTTGATCCACTTTTCTCATTTGGAGGGAATTGTTTTAACCATTTCTAAGTGATTGCATCTTTGGGACAATAAAACTAATCATTCTATAGTAATCGTATCAACACATACTGAGTTTTGTGATTTCCTGTCTGATTTATCTTATGTCCCTCGTGTTTCCCTTCTTCCTTTTTGGTTCATCGTGTCTGTTGCATGTTTGCATACTCTCTTACACGTCTCCTTGTATTTTGTTCAAGAGAACAGCCTCTCTACCCTCAAGTACGTCGTACATCCCTATCCCCAACTCTACCTCTGTATGGGATATACTGCATTTGGATGATTTATGTTTACCTGATATAAAATAATTATATTTTTGTATAACTTTTCACAAGTTAGAGATATTCATGAAAACAACCACTCTACTACATGAGATAGAGAACAAGTCTCCTACATGCCACCCTCTCCACCCACCTCCACGTTTGGTTTGTCTATGATTGAACCTTCTAAATGTGTGCATAGTCTCCTGCATGATTCCCACTCAATCATCTAGCTCTGCTTGATGTATATTAGAAGATTGACATATTTTGACCTGAGTTGATGCGCTTTGTAAAGATGATGGTTTTCTCATTAAAGATTGTCTGGATCCGCTTTGGTCCTTGGGAGCCAGCATTAGGTTTGTCCTCCAGAAAGTCATGAGCTCGAATTATAGAAGCCTCTTAGCAAATATTGGGGTAGGTTTCTTAAAGCAACCTTACGAAATCCAAATGTCCCTTAAGATCGTCTGGCTGTTATCTGAGAAAATTTGTAGCCATTGGAAGTAACAAATGATCGGTTCTTCAAATTGATGGTAGTTTTTGGTTGGTGGCACATAAGTTTGAAACCTCATGTAGCCATTGACAGGATTACTCTAGTACTATGTTGCCACCTGATTCTGATGATTGCCAAGTTTTTTGCTAAAACTATGTTCATCCCCTCACTCAACTGAATTGGTTGATTACGAATTAGTCTCCATGATGCTGTGGCACCTGTTTGGATTGAATCTGTTAGAGTTCCACATTGGCTTGGACTTGGATCATTTCTTCTTAATATATGTTGGAACCTTCCTTCTCCCCTCAAAGGGCTCTTTCGGAGATGTCCTTGGAGGCGGTTTCGTGTGGGGCCAGTTGGGGTTGCCGATAATCAACTTTTTGCCCAATTATGGGGGTTCCGCGTGTTCTCCCACGGTATAGTGCCAAGTTCTACCACTCTAGGGACTCCATGCATTGTGCAATCTGTACTTGTTTAGCCTCCTTTCAATAGTCTGCGACAATCTGTGCCCGTCTAGCCTCTATTGGAGGAGCGTGTTAAGAGTCATACAACGGCTAGAGTTGGACCATTTCTCCCCTCAATATATTTTGGAACCTTCCTCCTCTCCTCAAAGGGCTATTTTGGATAGTAATTTTGAGCCTTGGGGGTTCCACATATTCTCACATAATCGTTACATTTATTCGCAGTTTATGTGCCACCGGTTAGGATTAGATCAAACCGTTGCATTGGATTGTCTAGGGGTGTCGGGAAAAACAAAAACCGAATAAACCACCGGAACCAAATGAAGTCCGGGTTATTCGTTTTCGGTTTTATTTGGTTAGGTTATCTGTTCTTATTCAATTTATTCGGTTCATTTTTAGTTATGTTTTTCAGTTTTGGTTAAACCGAATAAGGAAATATATTATTATTTTTTACATTTTATTAATTATTTAAAATTTTTAAAATAGTTAAGTTTGAGTTAATCGGTTCTGGTTATTTGGTTTGGTTATATATCCTTATTCGTACGGTTTTCAGTTATTTTTTCAGTTTTAGTAACCGATTAGACAAATTATATTCATTCAACCTCAATTAACTTTTGTGTAGATTTTTATGTAAAATATTTTTAAAAGTTGCAAAGGCATTTTCCCAGAATTACATTAACTTTTGAGTTTTAGCCGATCAAATAAACAAAAACAGATTCTCTTCTACAAACCTTTTTAAACTAAAATTCTTATTTGGTTTAACGGATGATCAAACTAAATAACACGGAACTGATAAAACAGAACCTTATTAGGTTTGGTTATCGGTTGGTTTGAAGAATGTTGAAAACCGAATAAACCGACCGACAACATCTCTAGGTTTATCCCGGTATCCTAATTAAAAGAAATTCGAGTTGCCTCGACAACATAAATCTTATATGCACTTCTTAATTACACTTTTGCACAAGTTGGGGGTCTTAACGGAAACAACCTCTGTACCCTTTGAGACAGTAACAGAATTGCTTACATCCCACCTCTCAAGACCCCACTTTCGCATGGGACATACTGGGTTTGTTTCGTTTGATTAATTGTTACCATTGAATTATTGAGTTTTGGTCATCGTGAACCTTATGCTTCTTAGTTACACCTTCGCATAAGCAGGAGGTCTTCATAGAAACAATCTTCTACCCTTTAAGGTGGAGGACCGATCTTCATACCTCCCACCCCAAAACCCACTTTGGCTTGGAGTGTAGTGTGTTTATTTGATAAATGGTTACCATTGAATTAATGAATTTTGGTCATCTTTCAGATGAAGAAGACGGACTTCTTTCAGGAATCAACAGCTACAGGGCAACAGTAAACTTAACAACACTAACACAAAATGACCGAGCCAAATGCCTTGCGGATAAAATCGCTGACCAACTTAAAGACCGGCCCTGCACCAACACTACTGGTTCGAACACAGTTCCAGGCACCGAACCCGAGTTCGCCAATTATCCAGACCTTTTAGATAAATGTCATTTGAATGTAAGCACCACAAGAGATGGAGGTGTTCTTCCGGCTTGTGTTCCTAACCTCGATCCAGGCCTCGTGATCTCCAACTACACCCGATCCCAGTATTCAAGTTACTTGAATGACACCAAGTATACGGGAATCGGGATCGGTTCAGAAGACGATTGGATCGTTGTCGTGTTGACTACAAGCACCCCAGAGGGTGGCTATTCGCCTGGTAGTAATGATGTAAATTTTGTTTCGAAGATTGGACCTGTGCACTACTCAATGGTTCTACTCGTGGTGGTTCTACTCTTGTGGACTTGATCGGTTTCGTGGAGTGGTCATATGGATGGTTTTGATTTTCAAGTTGTATTAACACGCGTTCATAGAGCGATTACTTATGGTTTAACGTATTTTCGGAGTTCTTAGATGAAGTCGGGATTTTGCATAAAACTTTTGAGTTGTTTATGTTCGGTATTTTGTTTTTCAATTGTTTGATCATAGACTTTTTAAGATCAAAGCGAATTTGAATAGATCATGAGATGGTTGATGGTATTCGTATAATGCAGCTGGAATAGTTGTATATCCATGCAAAATAACGGGATGTAAAACAACCGTGTACCCATATTATAATAAATAAACTAGTTGTATATTGATATAGATATTGAGCTATTTGCCCACGACATGTGTGATGCAGGAACACTGTCGACGGGTTTGTAAACCTATAGGGTTGCACACAAAAGAATGTGTTTGCCTCTATTTCAAAAACCTGACTTAAATCATGTTGATTATTAAAATAATTATTTTTGATGAATAATTATGAAAAATGTGTTAAAGTGCAATTATGATAATTACGTAATATTATCTAGTATATAATTATATTAAAATCTAAGATAATTATATAAATATTATACATAATTACTGAAAGATTGTAATATCCCAACTTGACAACAATTGAGAAAACTCCATATAAATGTAGATATTCAAGATTTAGATTGAGATTAGAGAAAGATGATAAACATAATGAAAAACGGTTAGATTCATTTATTCATGAAAACAAAAAAAATACAAAATTCTCTCAATCGTTTAGATGGCTCTCATGTAAAATGAAATAAAATGAATAACCCTAAAATCTTAGCTCATGGCACCTATATATAAGGTCATTTACAAGACAAATAGCCCAAGCCCATAAACTTCCTAAAAGCCCAAAATACAAATCTTTAAATAATATTCATAATATTATGGGCTAATTTTATCTAACAATCTTACTCTTGTTTTATAAAGAAAGCATCTCATATAAACTTCCCCTTGCTTTAGTTAGTAGTTCTTATGTGCCACTCTTTAAGTCTTCAAAGCGTTACAAGCTCCCTCTCAAATGTAGGCTCATATTCTTGAAAATCAAGACAATTCACACTTTTTATCCAGCTTTCATGATTCAATTTCATCGTTGTTTATGACCATCAAGGAGTCTGATTGAGAGAAAACATAAAACATGCACATTGAACTCTAGCCTCTTAGTTTATTAACAAGCTTTATTCAACCATTTTGGATGAAAATTGAGTGAGCTATGCAAGTTTTCCCTCGGCCGCGCAAAACGATCATCAAAACAGAAAATTTGACTCTTCAAACCTCGTTGAGTAAATGTTCAACTCCGAACTGTAGACTTGAAAAACAGAGGAGAGAGTGGCATGAAATATGTCACAAATGTAGTTTGAACAAATGAAGAACAGACAAGCGAACACCATTCTGAAATCGGAAGGAGCACGAGTGAAAAAGCAATGCTTTCGGTCCAATACCCTTCTGCAAACTTTGATAGTGAATTAGGCATATCATCTCTCAGAATTTGTGAAAACTCAAAACTTCAAATTCGTGCATCTGTGTTTAGCTTTCCTATGCAATTGGAATCATGAATTTTGGAGCTTCGAGGTGAAAGTTGTGCACAAAAATCTATAGTAGTGCAAAGCTGACAGCAAGCTATTAAAAGATGAGCTCTGGTCCATGTGAGCTCTGGTCAATGAGAGCTCTAATCCATCGAGAGCCTGGTCCGTTGAGATTTCTGGTCCATCAAGAGCATATGAGAGCATCAATTACGTATAGAGCTTTGGTCCATATAACTAGAGTTTTTGGTTCATCGAAGCTGATCATACCTCTTTCTGATTTAAGGCTATCTCTCGTCTGTCTTGGGTTTTGCTCTGGTCCATTATGACCAGAGCGCTGGTCCATATAACCAGATCCTCTGGTTCCCCTTCTGGTCTACCCTCTAGTGTTCTTTGATACAAGAATCAACATAGAAGGTTCATGTCCAACAACTTTACACCAACTTTCACACTAAATTAGACCATGATAGCTCTGAAGTTTGCAAAAACTCAAAACATAAAAATTGCACATTGGTTCGTTATCTGTTCAGAGAATCTGAAATCACCTTCTTTGGAGCTCAAACGAGTAAGATATGATATGTGTACCACAGTCGCACAGATCTGTCCAAAGCTTTGCATCAGCACACCGTTGTCACCACTTTAATGATGCGCATGACCCCTCTACTGTTCGAATATTTGAATGATCAAATTATGAAACTTCTTAATACATCTGTTTTCTATCTAGGGCCTTTTGAATCGCCTTAATTGGTGCCTTGCTGAGTGAGATATAATAAATTTACTACAACATCATAAATATGTCAACATGTTGATTTTCATATTTTCATCATAGTCGATCTCCATTAAACTTTTTAGAACAAAAATTACAAATAATCAAGTTTTTTATTGATCATTTCAAAAATTTGATTCTAAGCAATTAAAGATCTGACATCCTTTTAGGATCTGACTATGAACAATCCAAATAGAATCGGATCTTCTCATAAGCATTTCATCAAACATGTAGAGTGCAGAACCAGATTGTGTAAAGAATCAAGAGAATTTAACCTAAATATTCTTCATCAATCATCAAACGACGAGATTGAATCTTAAACAAACTCAAAACAACCTTCAAATAAAAAATATCCCAGAATTGATACTTTGAGTTTTAGCACATATGATTGATCATTATTGAACATCCAAATCACGAATTTAATCTTCAAATCTTCAATTGTTGCCATAGATGACCGATTGAAGTAGATTCACTTCATGGCTCTAATACCAAATGTAAGATCCCCACTTGACAACAATTGAGAAAACTCTATAAAAATGTAGATATTCAAGATTTAGATTGAGATTAAAAAAAGATGATAAACATGAACATGATGAAAACCGGCTAGATTCATTTATTCATGAAAACAGAAAATACAAAGCTCTCTCAATCTTTTAGACGACTCTCATGTAAAATGAAATAGAATAAACAACCCTAAAATCTTAACTCATGACACCTATATATAGGGTCATTTACAAGATAAATAGCCAAAGCCCATAAACTCCCTAAAAGACCAAAATACAAATCTTTATATAACATTCATAAAATTAGGAGCTAATTTTATCTAACAAACCTTATTTGAGTTATGGACTATCTACAACACAGTCTATATAAATAACATGACACGTTAAATCCAATGAGTTGATTAAAAATCTTCTAGGCTTAGCTATCAGAGAAAATACATTAAAGAATATGAGAAAAGAAACATTTTCTTTTCTGTAGAACACATATAGATATAGGGTTTTTGGGGTAGCACCCGGCGGAGGCCAGAAGCATATTCGTGTGTATATCATCAATAGAGAAAACCTACTTTGGTTTCTAATGCTCCTTCGGAATCCTCAACAAGATCTGAAAGGTAACCTTCTAAACACCCTTTGGTTGTTTTAATTTGTTTAATTTTTCATTAGATCCAGCTTAGATTTTTTTTAGAAAATATTTCTAAATTAATTGTAACCTAAAATAATTTTCCATTTCATTTTCGAGGTCATAAATTGTTTTAGAACCATAATGTGGTATTAGAGCCACTTTGACATTTAAACAAATAGATCAATTAAATTAAAAAACAAATCGAAAAGAAATTTGTATCTGGATTGATCCACTTCGGCTGAGGAGGTGCGCTAGGTTTAAACCCTAGTGTTTTGCGCCAAAACAATCACCATGGTTGTGCCGCTATGTCCTCTATCGTATCTCCACCACGGTCGTTGTCGATATTTTCTAGTGGATGCCTTTTGGGGTTCTCAACCATGGCTGCTGCCTCGATGCGGCTATCAATGTTGTAGGTCAAAAGAACGGTTGTGCCGTTGTTGTGCTTGTGCATAGGTTCTGTCTCTGTGTTTCACTCACTTCTAATTTCGCGACTATCTGTTCCATGTGGCTGCTACTTTCTTGTTTCACGGTTGCTGTCGTTTTCCTTATCTTGCGGTTTTTGCCGCCTTGGCTTTAATATTGCCATCGTCAAAGAGCTAAGAGGATGTTCATACCAATGTTAAGACCGACACAATTGCTGCCACTTGAAGGCCATGACTTTTGCACTGTTTTGGTTGCCTCTCAGCCAGCTTCGTACGACTTAAGCGTCACGACCTAGTGTCGCTTTCCCAGTTCAATGGCTTGTATTATTGTTGGTCCGGGGTGGCACTTGATGATGCTCCCCTTCTCTCCCGACTGCGGCTGGTATCCAATGCACAACCCATAACTTGGGTCGTGTGTGGCATTGTGGATGGTGTCGTTGCTGGGACAGTAGATGCCCAGGTTCGACCACAACCGTTGTTTTATTTGAGGTTACCTGTTTTCACGACAAGTCTAGGTTAGAGCTTGGGGTTTTGTGGTTTTTGGGCCATAACCCTACAAAGGCCCATATTGTTTAGGGTTAGCTTGGGCCAATTTTTAGGTAAATGCTTTAACCCATACCCTTATGGATAAGGTATTTTGTGGATATCTTGGTTTTTTCCAAAATCCATTGTTAATTTTTCGATCAGTGGTCAATTTATTTATGACCATTTAATTTTACGTTCAAAATTGTTAAATGATATATGCTTTGTCCCAAAAGGCCCGTGGTTATGATTTGGTTGTTTTATTTTATATTGGAAAATTAAAATATATTAATTGAAATCGTCATAATTTCTAATTTTAATTTTCTACATAGGAATGATTGTAAAATAAAATAAGGCATGTTGTATTTTCTATTTAAAATTGTAAAATTTGAAGACAGTGTTTCAAGAAGTTAACCGGAGTCCCCGAGGTTCAATAAGTTAGTGAGGATGGTGGGAACTTGAAGACGTTCTTAGATTGACCATGGTTATTGTGTAGGCTCACAACACCACATTAGGGGTAATACCATAGCTTCATTGTGTTGGTTGTTTATTTTGATCTTTTAATTATTTATCTGCTCACAGTTGTTGTTATAATGTTTGCAAATTCAAAATGCAAAACAACTTTTAAATCGGTAATAAAATATGGTATTTTAAAATTAAACTGACTTTTTTGATAAACTTTTAAATACAATTTTAATTTTAGGATAAAATCAAACGTTTTTAAAAGTAGAGAATGTTATCTAAAATTTAAACATTTCACAAAAAAACTATATGCCACTAATTTAAGGAACTTGTCAAGACTTACGAATTCCAGTATGGTC